GAAACATTAATACAGTATGCTCCCCTTTTCTTAAATGATAGATAATTTTTCTTTTCTATTTTATCTGAATAATTTTAGAACTTTTGTTAGGCATTTTACTGTTTGTTTGCTTGTATTGTGTGTTAAAATGGTTCTCAGAATTTTGCTTGTTGTTAAACTTAGGCGGCTGAAGTGAAAGCTCAACATGGAATTTTAGAAAGAGAACTACGCTTGAAAATACAGGCCATGCAGAAACAACATGGCGATATAGTGGAAGATCTTCAGGTAAAACTTTTATTTCATGAATTAAAATATGGAAATGTTATAGTGTTTTTATGTGTGTTATGTTTGTTAAACAATAATAGTCTTTAATATGTTTAATGAATCAGTACTTTTGTTTATATTGAATATTCCCCCCCTCTCATCATTTTAGGCCTTGATTTTCAGTATGCAAATCTAATTAGTGCAAGTTATTGATTATTTTACTATGCAAGATGCATATGTGGGAAATTTCTTATGTTATTTGTGATAAGTTAATTCTCAGTAGGATTTTTAGGTAACTGTTTCAGATTATTTCACAATCCCAGCCTGTTATAAATGCATGTTACTAAATACATCATTTTCTTAATAAATAGTAAATAAATGAAGAAATTCAGGAAAAGAATTATTACAAATAAGCATAAAATTTGTTTCTGACTTCAGTATTATTGGAATTCAGTTCAACTTGGTCTATTGCAGTTATTTCTAACATGGAACAGTAGAAGTTTTAGTGCCTGACTGAAAGAAAGGTTTTATGGCACTCTCATTGGGAACAACATAGAAAAAGGTCACTTCTGTAATAATGTAATTGCCAACAGATTGCTTTATTACCCTTGATAATTACATTAATATAGATAAAGGATAAGTGGTGTGGCTTCTTTAATTTTTAAATGTGATATATCTTATATGCTATATATAAATCTAATACATACCGTATATACTCGCATATAAGTCGATACCGCGTATAATACCCCCCGCGTATAAGTCCGAATAAGAAGTCGAACCCCCCACTTTCCGAAATTATCGAGAAACTTCAAATTTTTTTTACAATCAATTAGTAAAAAAGTATATAACAATAAAAATACCTTGTACATAACAAATCAAATCCTTCACTCTATTGCATGTCAGATTCGCCAAACATTTCATAGAACGCTTGTCGTCATTGGCTCTCATCATACATTTTTCAGTCTCAACTCTGTATTGTTACTCCTACTAGACCTCTCGTCCTTTTCACTTTCGAAAACAGCATCCTCCAGCATCTAGTCATGCTAAACAACTTTTTTAATGATTTTTAATAAATCATTTCAGGGTATTTCGTTCGCAGCATCTTAAAACCCACTGAGCATTATGTAATCGGGCTTTTTATGTTGCATCCTTTAAATTTGGTCGACCGAACTAATCAACTCTCCCAATATTTTCTAACATTTACTTTGAAGGCTATGAGGCAAATATAGGGGTGAATGACATGTCAATCCTCCGAATTACAGCCACATCGTTTTTAGGGGGTTTTTGAAATTAATAACTTTCAGTTATTGTGTGGGTAAGTGACTTTTGATAATCGTCCAATTTGAGTGCGGGAAGAAATCCTCTTATATACGATGTTTAACTTTTTCCGATTCTTTAAATTTTTAGGGGTGGCCGCCGCGATAAGCGACCCCCCACTTTGAAGTCTTCCTTTTTTTTTTTTTTTTTTTCCAAAATATCTCGCATATGCAGGTATACATGGTATCTTAAGTCGCACTTTCGAGACATGAAAAATGCAAGTTGGATTTCATCTATCAGCCCAGCAGAACAGCAGATATAGAACTGTCCCCTTCTTTTTTTCTCACAGTGTACAAACATCTGATCCTTTAGATATTTTTTCAAAGATCCATGCAAGTAAATTTCCAGTAATGCCATATCTAAACAACACAATGACTGTTTTAACACCGCTGATTGCGAAGCAGTATCCCTTTTGGAAAAAAGTCTGAGGCATTTTTGTTACATCGAGGCTTCCTTTTGTTTGCTGACATGTCACTGTGTTGAGCACTAGTCACAATATATCTTTTCCCTTGAAATGTACCAGTATGTGATCATTGACATCTTGAAAGATGGTTAGTGTGAACTTCCAATGGAAATCTGTGTCTTTTTACCCCAAAGGGGGCTGTTGGTATTGAAATGAGATTTTGCATTAGTTCACTATAAACTGTGTATCACTTTTCATATCGTTGTCACCAATTATTATTGCCCTGTATTATTGTTAAAGAAATTAAATAATGAAGAATCTGTATATGTGTATGTATATTCCCATGTTGTGAAAAACAGCAGTACCTGGAGCCATCAGACTTTGCATAATCTAGTCCTCTGTCTGAACATGTGCACCTGGAAGACCGAATTTTGAATTTGTTTTATTATTTATTTCATATTTTGTAAAACTAATGAATCTTTGATTAATAAACTCATTGATTTTAAAATGAGTAGTGGCAACATTGTTTGAAATAAAGCAGTTTTATCTCCAGCATGCGAGACTATTGCCATTCTGAAAAACGTAAGTTATTTATATTTCAGTTTCAATTAACAAACTCAGCTCTATGAAAGCAGTGTGTTGCCATGGCTAGAAATAAAATATCTTTGTCTTCCGCACACCAGCATGTTGCCATTCAGTAAAGCCTTAGATTCTTTTAAGTAACTCATTGAATAATAAACTAAGTGATTTAAAAGCGATAAATACAGTTTTTATTAATTTTTCTACTTTTTAATGTGATTGATTTCAATAAAAATGAATTAAAAGCATGAGATGTTTAATTAGAAATATTCAAAATTTTTGTGAAATTACACTAGCTCGACTCATTAAAATCATTATATACTTTTCTTTTTTGTGATAGCTATTTTAAGCAGTTTTCAATAAATAATATAGTGAATATAAAAATATGTATGGCAACCTCTAACACTCTTATCAGGAATGCTTAAGTTACGCTGTTTTTGAATATTTTGCGATTTTGCTCTGGAATTTAATTTTATATGGCATAAGTGCAAAGAATGTGATATTTAATAAATAAATTTGACGCATAAAGAGTTTTAAAAAAAAATTATTAGCCATCTTACTAAGAATAAACAAGTTTTGATATGATAAACTGAGAGATTGGAAAAAGTATAAAATTGTATACCAACATTTTAACACTGCATCAGGAACTGTGTAAACATAGGCTGCTATGCAGCTTTTAAAAATATTTGTATAGAACTGTGTGTCTCGTAAGTGGGAAGAAAACAATGCTTAATAATTAAGCTCAAAAGGCAGGTGTGAGTACAAACAAGAGCAGAGTGATAGACTGTGAGCTTAGTGGGCTTAAAAAACCTTAGCAAACCCATTTGGGTGATCATCAAAATATAAAACTTTTCAGATTCATTCTTCTTTTTTTTGGGGGGGGAGACAGTATGTTCCACTTTATACCTCTAACCATATGGGTTATAATGATGCTGTCATGATGTGTCTTGTCTCACGGTTAGATTGAAAACAATATCTGCATCAAGGCATGGGGGTCCAGATGCTTCTGGCAGATTATCTGCTGAACATACATATAATTTTTGTATAGCCGCCATAATATTCACTCACAATACATTTTCTTAGACCTGATATCATTGTAGTTTATTATATGCAGAACTATGATTCATGTTGAAATACAGCAGCTTTAACAACAATGAATCTCTTGTTGTCAGCAGTTTGCTGCTGTTGGCTGTCTTACTCTCTGTTCTAACTAGTTTCTTATTCCTGTGTTTATGCTTGTCTCCCATTTTAAAAATCTTTTTGCCCATTTGTACGCCTCTTGCTTGAATGAGACAGCTGTCACCATAGTGAATATTCATTCTTCTGTAGGTTTTTTGTATTCTCCAGAATGGGAATTAGAGGTAAAAATTAAAGGTGCAGCTTATACACACGAGAATATTGTAATACCAGTATTAATAAGCTTAATTTTTTTAAAACATTTTCTGAAGTATTTTTATGTTTTAAGAAACTAATTTTTTTTTTTTTTTTTTTTTCTAATTTACAGTCTAAAGTTAGAGTGCTACAGAAGCAAGTTATTACGCTCTCTAAAGGCCTTAAAAAGGGAAAGGATACAGACAGTCCTCAACGTTTATGAGAATAACTGTAATGTAAAGAAAAGAAAAAAAAAAATCTGAAATAATGAAATCATGTATTTATAACTCAAATCATACTCATCTTTGACATTTTATACTGTTTTAAAATATCAACTGAGGATTTTAATGCATTTATAGCTAATTGTTCATTTAGTTATTTTACAATGACAGTTTTAAATAACCTATTTTAAAGTATGTAATTATGTTATGTTATAAAGTTTTCCTTTTAATATAATATTGTTATAATAAAAGGAAAGCAGTATGATAGTATTCCTGTAATGTAATCATTGGTGCTGTGATTAAAACTGGATATTATTTATTACTCTCTTTTTCCCCCCTCTTTTCAAGTAAGTAAAATGAAAATGTTGAGTGAAAAACCCAGATATTTATGTGCATGCCTTATTTTCAAAGTATTTTTTTTTATTATTATTATTGTTATTAGGCCTAAAGAGGCCTCTTATTGATATTTATTTTCCCAATGACTTTTTAACCAGAAAATACCTGTGTCATTTTATAACCCAAGAATGAAATAAAACTCTATTTTCACTGCTGCAACTTTCTACTGTTTATGTTATATATTTTTAAAATCCATGATGAACTGTTTGTTTACTGTTGGCTTGTTGTAAAGTCGTGGCCCGTCTTTTTTTTTTTTTTTTTTTTTTTTTTTTTTTCCCCTCTATCTCTTAACAAGTCTGTAGATAAATTTTTGAAATGGTGGAATGGTAGGAGCAAATTAGTATATTCTTAGATATCTGAGATTTCCAATCCTGTAATTTGTTTGGGACTTAAAAATTTTAATGAAAGACATAGTAGAATCAGTCCCTTTCTCAGGACATCTGTTCTTCTATTACAATTGTTTTCCAATTAAACTTAAGGAAATTTGTTTGATTTTACTCATGCTCTATCCTTTAAAAATGGACATGTTTAGACGGAAGGTTTTAAAAGAAGGGTTTAGCAGTTTAAAAAGTGCACATTGTGCTAATGTCCATAATTCTGAAGACGTGAACTGTAGTTATTGCCTTATATCATACTTGCCAACCTCTAAAAATAAAAATTCAGAAGATTTCTCCCCCAAATTCAGAAGATTTCTCCAAAATTCAGAACACGAAGGATTAATATCATGCTTGATATGAAAAAAACAATTATACAAGAAAAAAGAAATTATAATTACTTGTAAATCCATAAGTGTACTAAAAAGGTATTGGAAACATAAAACAGAAGTTTGTTACACAAAAAATTATTGCAATGAATTTAGAGTCATTTTTTGGCTTTAGCCAAAATTCTTGGAAAATTCTGTCATAAAATGGTTTCCTCATACATAGCAATTAATGTTTCTAGAGGTTTGGTGAAAGGAAAGAAAAACATAGTTTTGTTTTTCTTAAAAACACTGAAGATCTTCGCACTCAGCATTACTGTGTGATTAGGAATAGCACATAAACCCTGCTGTCTATATAGTTTGTTTCCATGAAATCATTTTAATCTTTTAAGGCACCAATGAGGACATCAGTCTATCTCTCACAAGTCTTCAAACTGCACAGAAAATTGGTTCTGTAGTTCATCTAAGCATCATTATGCATTATTTCTTTAATTGTTACAAATGGAAATTTATAATCAAAAGACGAATCTTTTCAAAAGATGAAATTTCCATTGTCAAAAGATGCAACATCATATGTAGTTGACCGGCTGATCGCAGCGCTAGAGAATGTGTGTTCGATGAGAAGCAGTAAACAAACACTCTGCCAAAATGACATCGCTCCGAATTCTAGACGAATTGGAAAAAAAATCATCCCTTCTTTGAGTTGTCAAGACGAGCATTACTTCATGATTTTTTAGACTTAACATGCTTCACAATGTGCTTCTTACACCGGGGACTTATTATGAAGGCGCAAACGTTGCAAAGTGCATAGTATTTCCGTGAAGGATCTTGTGTTGGAAAATTGGCTTGTAGCAGGCCGAAACTATTGAGAATACGGATTTTTGAACTCATTTTGTAACAACGACGTATTAAGAAAATTCGTAGCAAGTGCAAGCAAAAAGAAAAGAAAGAAACAGACTCCGACAATCCACGCTTGCTCAGTCGAGTAGAGTAATTCCCTTGCTGCTGAAGCGAACGCGAAAAAAAAAATCTCTGCGCCCCCAAGAAAAGGTGGGAGAAACAAGTCAGCGCATTGGATGGCTGGTAAGCGGCGAGTTGGGGGGAACCGCAGGTTACTGGATCGAGTAGTCGATAGTGGCGGTAACCACGATGCAATTGGGAAAATCGCTGACTTGTCGAAAAATTCTAAAATTTCGACAAAATCATAAAAACACTTAAAGGGGAAAAAAATCGTAAAAAATGGATTACGATCGTAAAATCGTAAAGACAAACGCATTTTCGTAAAAATTCGGAAAAGTTGGCAGGTATGCTTATATATATAGATATATTTCACTTACACATCATATTTAGTTTTCTGTCATATTATGTGTGTTATTATCAGAGTGCAGATGTTCTTAGGTTTATATGCTGAAAAGCTAAAGGAAATGCTAGAAAAAATACAGTGGGTATTCACATTTTTGTAATGATTTTGATTTTCTGTGAATTTAAATATTAACTTTAAAATACAAACGTGACTGGCATCAGTTTGGATTAAGGTTTAATTATTGTCTGTAGCTATAAAAATATTCTTTTCTTTAAAATGTAGCTGAAAAATAAACAATGGATCAAAGGCTATATTTTTGTGCTAAAATACTTTTACTCAATTATTAAAAAAGAACACGTGAAAAGCATGGTCTTAATATTTTTACACATAAATAAGTGACATAATTAATATGAAAGGAAAGAAATGGCAAAGCTTACATCTGACTGGGAAAAGGGCAAAAAAAACATACCCTGCAAAGGTATTTTTAGGTAAAGGTATTTAATATACCTGTAATTAAATCTAAAGTTGCATAAAACCTATAAATATTTCTGTATGAAACCGAATTATAAAATCTGATTTAAAGCTAATTAAAACAAAACAAAAAGAAAGAAGAAAAAAAAACGAGGTTCATCGCCTAATGCCGAAACAGGTTTCTCAGCATAAGAGAATGTGCAGATTGCTGTATGAAAATTATTTGGCAGGTGAAAACTGGAAATATATAGTTACAATTTATGAGTCTTGGATATGTTTAGCTGATTTCAATAGGAAAAAATCGATTTACTACCGAAAAAGAGGAGAAAAGAACTTAATATGTTGGTTCAGAGAAAACAAGGAAGGTTTTTATGATTATTACTGGGGTCTCGGTCTCTTATAATGGAAAACTTAAAATAAGGAAAATTTTTAAAAAAGTGAAAATTAGTTCAGGTTACTCTCAGAAGTATGTTTTAATGCCTATTTTTAAAGAATGAATTTTATTTCTTTATCCAGACAGTCTTCACTGTGTTAACCCTTTCGGTCCTAATGGGCACATACGTCCCAGAGATTAGATTTCATTCCCGACTGGGGGAATAAAACCCACTTTTAAGTGGGTTTTTACGTGTACAATGTTTTTAACCCTTTCAGGACAGGCGTCCCATTTACGCATTCCCTAAGAACGTCTTTTACAGACGAGCGTCCCATCCATGCATCACTAGAGATTGCATTCAGAGGACGGGTGATGCGTATACGCATTTTAAGGTGGAACGTTTTTCTGAAGGCCACTAGATGTTTTGTCACTAGATCCTATGTCCATTCGTTTTGAAGTGAACACAGTTTTAGGTTCCTGACCTTGAGTTTAATATATTCTGCTTGACTTTGGTATTTTACTCATCAGCTGATGCGAAGGTGGGGGGGAGGGAAAGCGTAAACAAAGGTGAGCTCTTTATATTACTGCATGCAAATGTAAACTTTCTTGTCTGATTTATATCCAATTCCTTTATTTATTTTTTTTTTTCCCTTCTACTATGTACGGACTTTTAGGGTTATTGTGTGGAGTTCTTTTATGTTTTGCATTGCCTTCAGATATATTTCCGTTTCTTTCCTTTTTATTTAGGAAAGCCTCACCTCCAGTCTATTATGGCGCTATTTATCAGACTAAGAATACCCTCGTATGGTTAGTGAACCATTTACTAATGCAAATGAGAGTAATGATTCCTTTTCTAAAGAGTTAAAAAGTGATACTCCTATGCTCGAGATTACCACATTCGCTCATTTTTAATTTGTTACTCTACAGTAAATAGTTTTTTGTGTTGTTTATTAATTTAAACTTTATTGATGGTTTTATCAATTAAACTTTGGATAATGTAATAGCGCTTCCGAAATATTTACAAGATAAGCAATTTTGGAGTATATTTTTATGTAAATCAAAAAAAATGTTATAAAGTGCTAATTTTAACATACATAAGAGCTCAAGTAATAATCTAAAATGATACCAAAAATTACGATGCTAGAAGTGAAACTTTTTTTTCTTTCTTCCTTTATATATATATATATAAAATTAGGCTTAGCGATGTAAAACCTCCGCCCTGTACGATGACTGCCTTCGATTCCCTTCCATCCTGCACGAGCGTCTTGTGCGCCATCGCGAAAATGTTAAAGAATTAGAGAACAAATATATAACTAAAGAAACCAGCCTATATGCCAATTGTGTTAGGATGCCATTTGTAAAGATTGCTTTATGCCATGTTATACTTAACTTGTACTGTAAGAATAAAATATTAGGTACATTTTAAATAACTTTATTATTTATTTATATGCAGTGTAAGGTTATTATTACAATATCCTATACGGTTATTATTATTACAATATCCTATACGGTTGGGACAAATAGTCGCAGTTGACAATATAATTGGGATAAATTATTTCAAGAACTGGGAAAAGTTAAAAACTTTAAACTCATATTACACTTCTTTTAGTATGCCAACCTTAAATTAAACTACTTTTCATGATTAGATTTTAAACATGCAAAAATAAGGTCAAAAGGGTTAAGTTCCATCAGGATAAGGCTCCTAGCCATACCTCGAAAATCTACTGCTCTGTCTTTTGAAGAAATGAAAAGTGAAACTGCAATTGAAACTATTCCCTTTAAATGCATCCCAGCCAAGTCTCCTGATGTGTCATTTGTTGATTAGTGTGCATTTGGACTTTTAAAACAGCCTCTTTATAAGCGACATCCCATAACATTGGATGGACTCTGGAAGATTTTGAAGGAAGAGTGGAATAAAATCAACCTTGATGTTTTAAGAAAAAGACTTATTTAGGAAATTAAGGCATAATATGATAATTCAACAAAAGGGCTATCAGATTGAATATATTAGAAAATAAAATTCTAAGGTTTGTTTAGATATAAATCTTTGCAAAATCGTTACAAAAATGTGTAAACACCCTCTGTATGTGAGCAGTGTGGTAATATTTCATGTTAAAGGAATTTATTCCATTAATGAAAAGTAAATAAAGAGTTAGAGTATAGTTGCAAAAATTTGCAGAGTCCAGTGCTGTGGCACCATTTGAAATAATTAATAAACCAATCGCACAAAAAACGGAGGAGCAGGTGTTGTATTTTGTATACTTTCAGACTTCCAAGATAGGGGGAGGAATGGGGGATTCTTTTTTTCCTCA